TGTCTAAAGACACATAAGTATCTTAGTGGAGTCTGGCAATTCTAACCAAGAATACTTAACAATATAGAATAGCACAGTTAATCAATTCAAGGCTTTAATATATTTTGTAAGCCATTTTTTAGCTTCTTTTTGCGAATATATGTCAATCTGTTTTTCTTTCTCATCTGAATCTTTGAGTTGCATAATCTTATGTGAAGAAGGCGGTTGATACCTGTCATCTTTATTAATAAAACGTGCACACATTGCAAGCGTACTACCTAAATAATAATTGATATCTATTTCCATTTTTTGCTCTTTTGCTATATCCGTATACTTCATATAATCACCAACTCTATGCACTATTAACCGGCCTTTCTCATCACAAAGGCGGGGGCCCTTTACAACTACATAACTAAACCGTTCGCCGGGATCAGGAATTCTCTCACTTCTCTCTCTCATATGTCTCATAAAGTGAATGTTGCAAAGATTTTCTTTTTTTGGCTTCTATGTTCCCATTACAATAAATTCATTGAAATTCTATTCCTTATTTCGTGCTTCTCTGAGAGTGTTTTCAACAATTTCATAAATCGTATGTGTATTGTCAATATTCATAGCCTCCTGCATAATCTTTTTTCCAATAAATCTAAAGAGTTTTGAATTCCCTTGCTTTACAGTATCAATTCCTCGCGTAAAGAGATTATCTGGCCTAAAATCGATATCCTTTTCATGTGGTACACCAAAGTATTTTTTCTCACCAGTAAAGCAAACAGGAAATAATACCTCCTCATATGCTATTTTTAGATAAGATGTGTTATTTTTTATTTTGAGATATTCATTGACTTGATCACGTAACTTTTTCATCACATCCATAGTAATTTTGACCATTTCAGTCTAGTATGCTTCTTTAGAAAGTTCTTTTTTGGAGAAGGCTTCATCACATTTTTTATAATACTTAACTGGACAGAAGAGATACAAAGAATCAGTATCCCCGTATTTTATTCTAAACCCTTTTTTTGTTACGAATTCAGCGACAAGATTAAAGTTGTATTTTCCTGCTGAAGTAGTTCCTCTGGCTAATTCACGAAGAAAGATTGGAGATTTTGAGTTTCCTGCTTCCCTGTAAAAAGTATTCATATATACCTTTAAAGCTTTTTGTTTCGAATCTAAATAATCGTAATCAAAGCATATAGATGAGTGTTCTAAATTTAATCTTTCTGAGATTTTTTTACCTTTCTCTTTAACTGAATTTATCATTTTTCCAAGGCATTCCTTTTTCTTTCCTAATGAGGCAAGTTGTGCTTTAAGATTTACTCTTTTGTTGAATAAATCCTCCAATACAATAGGATATAAACTCTTCTTCTCAAATTGATTATCATGTTTTATACACCAAGTATGGATAATATGGTTATTAAATGGGAACTCAATCTTATACAAGTTATTTCCATTATTCTGCACAATATTAGCCTCATCCGGACTTAATATAATTTTTTCTGGAGAGAGGTTATAGGTCATAATAAGGCTGGGATATAAAGATGCAAAATCCAGACCCGTTACTGGTCTTTCCGTTTCTATACCTTTTTTTAGGTAGAAAAACGTATGCGCCAGGAAATTTCTCTTTTTCTATATTTTTACATACCCTTGTACTAAATACTATATTACACTTGAAAGCATAAGCACCCAGAAGATTTCGTACTTTCAGCCCATTTGCATGATAATGCGAATCAAACAAAGATACATAAGCTATAGAAGCAACCTCCCTATAGTCATTAATTACATTTCACTTAACCATAAGCTCCTGGCAACGCAATGCATCTATAATGCAATAATGTGCTACTTTATACATATTTTGTATAGTAGAAGGATGTGATTATTTAGAGAAACACTCTCTTTTGCTTTTGAATAGATTTTCCACATTTTGTTATATAGCATATCTGCTTTTCTTTTAAGTCCACATAGTTTTAAGTAAAATGCCAGTAAACTTTTTTTATCAACTTCTGCACGAGGGAAGAGTTTCATAAAACATGGACGTACGTCAATTGGTACACATCCTGGTACTTTAAGAAAAGTAGAAATATAATTATCCTCTGGACTAATCTTGATTATAACTGGCTATACCCTATCGTTTTCTTCCTCATTATTATCGGTGGCGCCTTTTTTAATTTGAAAACTATTTTTAGATTTTACTCCTATTTTCCCATAATAGTTCTATTTTTGAATTTCTTTAGATGATTTAAAAGTTCTCGTCATTTGCTTCCACATCCATTTAAGAATATTAAGTTTGCAAGCTCTTTCCATAATAAATGGCCAATCGTATTCAGAATCGCTAAATCCGAATTGAATATCAGAGAGGAAGGCCTTCCAGCATAATGCAAACGCTTTTAGTAAATTTGTCTGGTTCCCACATACAACTGTTATCTGTCGTGGGTCTGGTGCAATTTCAAAATCGACAAGACAGATTTGTTTTAACGGTCTTGAGTCGTCTTTCCAGTATAAGATCATACAAATCATAAATACAACATTTTCTTTATCATATATTTCAGCAAATTCGCCCAACTCTTGTGATTGTGTCTCTATATCCCATGTAAGGATAAGTGTATGATCTCTCATGAGTGCTGAAATCGAAAAACAGTTACTTATCATTTTTAGATCTTCTACCAGTCGAAAATCATTTATAGAAACCTGAAAATCGTGTGTATAATGGGAATGTTTCTTGTATCTATACTTGCTTATCATAGACCAACCAGAAATCGCAATTCTATTTTCTCTAGCTATTTTACGGTGGAATGAGAACATATCATCTGAAGCGGTTTCGAAATTGTTATCTTGGATAGCTTGGAGAGCTTTCTTTCTATCCCCACTACTGAGTGTAAAAATTCGTAAATATGATTTTTTTCTGTATGATAACCATGTAAGGGAAAGGCCTTAATATGTTCTATTTTATAGATGTTTATCGTATTACTAAGAATTTCATCTATTTTTATTCTAAACTCATTTACAGTTTCATTATTGGGTACAAGTATATCAAAGAAAATCTGGATTCCCGTAAGAGTAACTACCGCTTTTTGGCCATTGATGAGAGAGCCGTAAAGACGTAAAACATAATGATTTTTTTCACCTATTTTTTCTGATGATCTCTCAAAATCAACAGCCATAAAAAAGATCTCTTCTCGTTTAGCCAAAGCATTATTAAAAATTGCAGATAAACCCTCATCATTTTCCACAACTATATTATCACGAGTTGGAAATCTGGTTAAATAACTTTCACCAGAATATCGGATAAGTTGGCCTTTTTCTGTTTTTTTATTTTCCGAAATCTGTGATTGAGGGAAAGCTTTGGCCCCCAGTGGTAAAAGGCCCCATTATTTTCTTTCTCTATCTTTGGCTCAAAATTTTCTGAGTTTTCTAAGCTCTCTGGTCGATAAGGTAGTGCTTCTGATTCTGCTAGCATGTGATTGATGTTTTCTTGGAAATATTGGGTACTCATAATAAGTATATTTTATTGCTAGTATATTATTCTGGGAAAAAAAGTTCAAAATGAAAATTTATTCTAAAGAATAGTTATCAGTAGATAATAATTATTATATCAAAAATTATATAAATATGGCATTTTATCG